TCTCTGATTCTAATTTTTTAAATGACTTAATAATCATAGCTAAGAAAATTAAAAAATTTCTTGACGATTTTTGTACAATTTGTGATCAAGAATGATTGAATTCCATTGAATAAATATTATGTAATTTTGAAATTTTTCGAACAAAAAAATGTGAAAGCATGTTGGATTATCATTAAGACCATATCACGTTTGACAGGGCATGCTATGTTGCAGTATGTAATAAAATATCTCAATCAAAAACCACATAAGGCTTTTTATTATCATTCCTTAAACTTTTTTAGATCTTACCTCAGTACAAATAATTTTTTTAAATAACGAATTTTATACTTGAGAACATTTAACAACTTTCTAATTCTACCTTACCCTGATAGGATAGTTTGGTCAGGATCTTATGTTTCAAGTAGCTACATATCTGATAGCAGGCTTCTGATTTTCCTGACATAGTCTTACAACCTGCTCAGATTATCTTCTCAATATTGTCAATTTATTGTTCTTCAAATTTTTTCGCTTTCCGTTAAGTAGTTGATATGATATAAAATGAGAGTTGTAAACTTAATTAATTGTTATTATCGAAAATTTTAGATTTTTTATTATGAATATAATTGATGACGATAATAAGAAAAAAAAATAAATACAAAGTACTTAATTTTTTATGCAAATTTAAAAAAAAAATCTTTATTTTCCGAGAAAGGGCCAAATGTTTCTTTTAAATACACATTCTTTTGCATTTTAACGAAGTGTATTTATCCATTTTCGATCGATCTGCTTCATCAAAAAGATCAATTAAAAAAATATCGTTAGATGTTACACTCATTAATTAGGCTTGATTTTTAGAACGAATGAAACTGATGAAACTCGTGTTAATTGTCTTAAAAGTAAGTAAGAAAATAAAAAAAAAGGTTTCTTTTACGCTTGGAGAATTAAGCACAGTTGTCAATCGTCAATTTAATTTGTCTAGTCTTCTTGTACTTCCTTTCTTCTTGTTTTCCTCATCCTCTCGAGTTCTCTCATCGTCATGGAAGAGCAAGAATCCTTTTTCAATTTCAGAGTTACTTACACCTTAAAAGTATACAGCTCTGGTTCTTTTCTCGTTTGAATCGATGGCGATCGAGTAATGAGAAAAGTTTAAATAATTAATGAAACGTAGAGGGTTCCAACCGACTGTCCGACGCGCTAACTCTGATCGATATGAATGCCGTGTGGTCGTCCTTTTTGTATCGATCTCAAGAAGTCGATACCCTACTAGTAATTCTACAATATATAGGGAGAAAAACGAATATAAACTCCTACGTATGGTCACGAATATGATACATATACATATATCTTCATACATTTATACATAAAATAAAATTCAATCGAAAAATAAGCTTCTTGAAGAAAGAAACTTCTTAGATGTGAGAAATAATATTTTTAACTTTATAAAATTTATCAACTTTACGTAGTCTATTGAGCGATAGAAATGATGTAAATTTTCCTACAAATTTTTTATTGTATAGCTTTCATGAAAGCAATTTTCCGGTTGTAAAGGGAATCAACCATTTGAACATTTTTGCATCAATACTTTGTACTTAGCGAAAATATAACACAGAATTTTTATAAATAAAATTTTTGTAATAATCTAACAAATTTTATTCAATAATTGATATTCTATAAAACAAATTGTTCAATACTTTTTTGGCTCATTTAGTTCATTGATCTTTTAGTTAAAACTCATTACTCAAATTTGATATAAATAGTGCATTGCCTTTTACAAAAGTAAAAGGAGACTCGGTAAAACTATAAATAAAATTAGTAAATTTTTGGTAGAATTTCGCTTGGAATTAATTTTTTTCTAGATTAAATACAGTAGTTAGAAGAATATACAACTGTATAAAATTATTTATTAATTAGCTGTCATTGATTAGTCTTTTCACTGCAGTGCAAATCCCAGGATTTCACAAACGTGTTAAAATAACACGCGTAAAGTGTATTCAATGTAAAATGCCCATTAACAAACTATGCATGATTTGCAGACACTTTTTACACGTTTCATAGCGTGTGAAAGATCTATAGTTCGTTTACGGCATTTAACATTGAAGAGGCTTAGCGTTTTAAAAGTGTCTACAACTTGGATTTGCAGTGTGGACTGAACTTTTATTTGTGTAAACACTGTAAATTTGAGTGTTTTATTTTAAAACGTTAAATGTGTTTTAATATGATGTCACCCATTTGATTAACATTGTCTCGATTTTAAAACACTTCAAACGTTTTCAAATTGAGACAAATGTTAATCAAATATGTGACGTCATATTAAAACAAATTTAATGTTTTAAAATAAAACGATAAAATTTATAGTTAAAATGAGTGACATTTATACAATACTTTAACAATTAGTTTTTATGTTATTATATACAATATTCTTAAATAATTACTAATTAGTCGTGAAAAATATTTAAATTTGATATAGTCTATTAGTCCATCCGTGCTGAAAGTTCAATAAGTCTTCAATAGAGAAGTGACTTTTTCACAGAGGCATGAGGAAAATAACATCAAAAAATCATTTAGCTATGATTTATGATTTTACTCCAATGTTGCATAACTACAAAAATTTATCGGTTAATTGTAAAACGTATATTTCCGTAAAACTAAGAAAAAAGAAATAGTGATAACAATGACTTGTTATTAGACTAATTTTCCGGGAAAAGTAATTTATTGTAAAAGTTTGATTCAAAATTAGTTCTAGTCCAGATATAACAGTCAATAAATTCCATAAGATTAATAGGGAAACATTCGTTTGTAGATAAGACTTATGAAATATGAGTAAGATTTTCATTGGATGTAACAATGATAAATTTAATTTGACGTAGCACATAAGAAAATGTTAATAAATAATTCAATTCACTCAAATGATTAAATATATATGTATATATATATATATATATATATATTTTATAATGTTAAATTCTTTTAGATACCATGACAATCTATTTATTTGGAGATTTTTGATCCTCACTGAGAACTTCTTCTAATACTCATAATTTTTCAGTTATAAATAACTTCTAAATAATCTACTGATGATGATTAATTAAATAATGCATTTTTTATATGTTATTAATATTATTCTTAATTTGGCATTAATATTGTACTAAAAATAAAATACTAAGGATTGTCTGAAAATATTTGAAACTTGAATAATTATTAATTTCTACACACATTTTAGTACGCAGTCGAATTCCTCTTTTTTTTAGTCCCATAATTTTTATTATTAGAAAAATTGGCCAATGGTGTAAAAATTAGAGGAGTTTGACTGTACTATTTTCATTACTAATCAAATAGAATTAAACAATAATCAATTCAATTATTGAGTGAGGTTTTTTTATCAGAATGCTACTTGAAATATATGCTTTTCTCAGTAAAAATATTTGTTAACTGTATAAATTCGTCTTAAAAAAATTATCTACACAAAAAATATAATCCCAAGAATGAAAAAAAAATTTTCCGACATAAAAAGTATTATACAATATAAACCAGTTATAGACTCGGTATAAAATCATCCAAGTGAAAATTACAAACTTTACAAAGTTCATCGAGCGATAAAATTTATGCAAATTCTCTGTGACTTTGGAATTTTAACTAAATAAATTCAATATTTATTCACCTGATCACATCAAACTAATTGGTGAAAAGTGTAATATTACACAACCTCATTATTATCTTCATCTTAAAAAAAATCTTGCAAGTTTTTCTTTTAGAGATAACGAAAATTTTGTCATTGTTCTCAAAGAGAAGAAAAATGAGAAACAATTATTTTCCAATTGTTGAGCTGGTGGTAAAGTTAGGATTTGATAAAGTTAATTGATATCACTTTAATTAGGATTAAAGTTTTGTCCTGTGAGGATAAAACCGTGCAAGTTCCGGTGTCGAACTGTCCACGGTTTCATCGTCATGAGGGAGAAATGAAGCTAAAGGGGTTGCGGCAGGAGTGGGGAAAGAGAAAGGAAATCTAACAGGGCATCGCGTCTATTTTAATTAAATTCTGACTCTCGCAAACCGTAGCAGTGGTGTCGTTGTGCTTATCGGGCTTACGGGCATTGCTCGCACAATTGAAAATCCAGAATCGTTCGATAAATTAATACGACGCACGCTAGCATTTTTGTGCCCTCTCTTTTTCTTTTTCATTCTCTATTTCTCTTTTATCTGGGATGGTTTTTGATTGCGCCTCTTGTTGCCAGCTGGTTCACACTCGACCGCAACCTTTTACGCGCACGCCACGTGGACGTTCATACGGAAAAAAATGCAACTGTGCGTTTCCATCCCTGACGATTGCATTGTTGAGAGAATTCACTTTCAACGTGTCGAAATAAAATTTCCGCACTTTATTTTTTCTCATAATTTAATTAACAAAAAAATTTTCCAGTATTTATTAGACTAAAAAAAAATGCAAAAATACTTGTTTCAAATAGTTTTTAAAATTAAATTATTCACTCCGGAAAATGTAAATTTATGTGAAAAAAATAATACCTTATTTATTGTTTTTATTGTCTTATAAATATATTTTTCAATTCCATTGTTTAAGAAGTTGAGTAAAAAATCATGATAAATACATAGAATAAATAAAACCAACAAAGGTAGAATAAGCTTACTAATACTTGTTTATGAAATTTCATTATTTTAATGGTCCTGGCAGTTACTTTAAAATTACGACAAATGAAATAGACTGCAAGGAAACCTTATAAATCACCGTGGATTCAGACTGATAAGGTCTTGCAGTCATGACAAACCTGAGACTTGTGTGACTTGGACTCGAGTATACGAAGAGGGAAGTCACGTACGCACGATTTCCGGAAATTCGTCATTTATCCGTTCATCCCTCGAGCGAACCAGCCTCAAGAGACTCACGAGACGAGTGAAGGAGAGAAAAGGAGGGTAGTTAGACGATATATTGCGACGCCTGCGCCAAAATGCTTTCGTCTAAAACCGCACACGCTGGGCGACGTTTTAGTTGCGTCCCGACACTCACGTCGTCGACGACACATTTTAGTATCAACCCTCGATCTATTCAACCGTACTCCGAGTTCCACGTGATTTTTATTTAACTCCTTTTTCACTTGAATAAAAGTAATTCAATTTTCAAAAATAATATTCAATTAAAGTTTTTTTTGTCTTCCATGTGGATAAAGATATGACAGTGCGATGTTAAAATTGGAAATGGGAAGATCCCGAAAAAAATGAATCAGTGTGGACTAAATATAGACACTTTATTTTGTCATTCGATATTTTATTTCTCATATAGAAACCGATGCCCTCATGGCACATAAATATAAAATGTGGCGATAGTTCGATCCTTTATTGGATCAAAGAACGATGTGACAAAATGCAGTGCCGGATACCCGTGAAATTTCTTCATCTCTGCAGTTTACTTTTTCTTGTTCTTATTGGGTACTGTGACGGCTACCTAAACATATTCATCAGTCAGTCACAAGTAATGAAGCTGATGGGTAAGTTTTCTCTCCATCTATCCATTCCCCATAGTATAAAGTTTTTTAAACCTCATTCAAAGTTTACCACTACGCAGCCATACATACATAATTTAGAATTTAAAAGAGGGAAAGTATCATAGACGTTCCTTTTTTTTAGAAAAAACTTTTGGCAATGACTCAAGAATTTTTTCCAATGAAAATAACAATAAATTTAATGGTCCATAAATATATTTAACGATTTGTCGTGTAATAATAATAGTAGATAATTGCAAAATTGAATAAATCTTATTTTATTGGAAATAATTCAAATAAATCGTCAAATCCAATTATTCTTTTTTATTAATTATATCATTATATTCACAGTCAGAAGATTGATTTTACAATTTTATCACTGGAAAATAACGATAATGAATTTATCCCTAGGCAATCCCTGGGCTCGTTTAACTACAGAATTTTTGTTTGTTCATCAACTCGTTTACTTTATCAATTTGTCCATCCAAAAGGTCAATTCACATCGCGTTACCTTGATAAAAAAAAGACAGTAAACTTTTACATAAAAATATAATAAATTGAGGAAAAAATGGCAATAGTATTCAAACGAATGCGAAATACTCATTCTTTGATGTTAATAAATGAATTAGATTTTTTCTTTCTTTGTTGAATCATAGTATTATTTCTTTATTTCTCCACAAAGAATGAAGAACTTGAAGATTATTCTTTTTTTTAAAGCTTTCGCAATTGTAATTCAACAGCTCTCACTCTTCTTATAAATTTTCTTTTATATTACGATGAAATCCATTAGAAATGATGAGCGAATATGTGATGTTGAAAAAAGTAAAACGATTTCACGTTCCATTTCCAATAACACTTTGGTATCTACGCGCGCGAAAACTTTATTTTCAATATTGCGAGTAAATGTGCATCAGTTTCTGTTTCCGCCACGCTTCAGAATTTTTTTTATTCATCACACAATTATTTTATCTCGAGTTACGTTTTATTTCCGCCGAGATAGATTTCATAATCAAATTTCCTATTTTTTATTTAAATAATTCATTTTAATTAAAAAACTTTTTTTGTTGTTTTGTCAGGTTTCTCATAATAAAATTTTAATTGAAATCAAGTTTTACTACTGATAAAAAATCTCATTTACCAAAGTTTATTTTAATTTTATCTCTTTTTCATACCATAATATATTTTCACTAAATGACATTTTTTTTAGTGATGGAAAAAATGTAATCGGAAGCTTTTATTTTTTTCAACTCTTTTCATTGCAGTGGATTTAAGAGCAGATGAATTTATTTTAGCATGAGAGGTATTAAATTTCATTGATTACAAGTTAATGCTGAAATGATTATAAACGACTTTAAGCTGGTAGTTTGCTGCCGGAAGGAAAGTAGAATAGAGCAATCCAAGTAGAGTATACATAAGAGTAGTCGGACGAAACGTGTCTATTACTTTATGAGACCATGAATCATAGCTCGCTACAGTAAATATGAGCACATAGGGCGGAGACTTCAGCGTTGAGAGAGCTATTCATTAAATGAAAACAAAATAACGTTATTGAAATTGTATGTGGTCTGACACACCCTCCTCAAGCTCATCTTAGTGGTTGTGTCTTATAAACGACCGTAAATATATCACTCGCGAATTTTATCCATCACATTAATGAAATATTTCGTTTTATGAAAAAGATACCTTACTCGAGTATATTTTTAGACGATATTCCAAAAACCAAGTTACGAATGTATCATTTGAACTATAAGAAACACTCGTTCTCATACGAGTCTGAGAATATCTGCAGAAATGGCTAAAATGAGTAGTTTTTTCTACGTCATCTTTAGCTGATTAAACTTCAGTCAACTTATATTGCTCGCAGATTTATCTTTTATATTTAAATTTAAATCGAATGATACTTAAAATGAGAAAAAGAGCTATTAACTATTGTTGTTTGGTCTCAGCTTGAACTTTTTGAAACATTATTTTATCTTATATTTATATTAAATAATAAGACCAATATTAGTCTTATCAGATAATTAGTAAAACACTGCTTTGGGGCCAATACTAACAACTATTTATTAGTCACATTTTAACTGCCCTAGAGATGATGACTAGCACGCCAACCTTGGTCCATATACCACCAACCAACCACATTCTCTTAATATAAAATGAATCAGTATATACACCCTATTTTGCAATGATTTGGACTGTTTTATTTTTAGAGTACTTTCGTACATGGGCGATGCTTTGCTTTAGGAGGTTTCATCGAACCTATTAAAGAGTAGAAAGCCACTCAATTTCCGGATTGGATGGAACAAAGAGAAGTTCAGGGGATGAGATGAAATTTGAAACGAGAGAGAAAAGTTTTCTTCAACTTCAACCGTATCGTGTCTCTCACACGCGCGACCATCGTCAATCCCTGAAGGAAAAGAACTGGAGAATATGACCATTTTTTTTAGTTCTAGTACTTTTTTCGTCTCTCCAAATCGTTGTAGCTCGTTCAAAGTGTCACTCGACAGAGATTGCACGGTCTGATAATATTTCTTCATTGTCATCTCCGGGAAAATTCTTATAATGAGCTTTTATTTGCTAAAGTTCACTATTTTGATCATTTCTGATTAGTTTTTTAGTACTATACGTTCATTTTACCTTTGTTAATTAAGTTTTATAGAGATTTCGTGAAACTTAAATCATAAATTGAGTTAACAATATTACTGAAAAAAAAACATTCTAGTAACTTGTAGTAGCTCTTTACTTTTTTTAAATTTTTGTCATTGTTAAAAGTTTCAAATACTCAATTTAATTATATGGGCAATGTTATGAGCTTTTTTTATAAACTTAAAATCATTATTATGTAAATAAAATATTTTTGGCACGTTGTAAAGGATCTAAAAAATTTCCTATCATGTGTTAATGTCCCATTTAACATCCAATGGCTGAGTTTTTTTTGTGACAATAAAGAACTCAACTATATAAATCTAACCATTTCGATTCCTTTTTGCACAGAAGTTTTTTTTTAGCAATTGATGTACGATTATTGTTCAGAAGTTATCATTCTTCTGAATCGGAAATGAGTTTTTTTCAATGCAGTAGTTTGTAACTCAGTTATATATGATAGCAGGAAAAGTTTTTAAAAAAAAAGCAGCCATCTGAATATTTTATTCAGATACTTATTATATAATTCTTTTATTTAAAATAATAGTGTAGGGTAGAATAAACAGACCAAAAGATGAGTACTATTTGGATGATGTACCAATTGTTTGAATTATAAAAATATAAAGATTAATATACAGTATAATATTTTTTAAATTTTCAACTAAAATGTAATTCATTCGAAAAATGCAACAGTTTTTTTAATACAAATTTATTTCATATGTAGAGTAATTTCCCAACAATAACAAATAAAATTTAATTGGAAGGGACAATGTTGTTTGAAGATTTCGAAAGTATGAAGCTAATTTGTGGTTTTATGGACAATATTTAACTTCAATAAACAATTTACAGAATTCCCCACATTTCTGGAATTTTATATCTAATGCAATTTATGTGTCTCATTCTAATTCATATAAATTTTGAGTAATGCTTTTACCCTAATAATGTTTATGAATTTTAACCAAGAATGATACTGTGAAATATATGGCACAGTCATGGTAAAATCTCAAATAACAAATGGAAAACGAAAAATTATATCCTAAGATGTATTTGACATCAAGGTGACTACTTTGTCAACCATCCACGTAGCCCCTAGTTTAATTTTTAAGGGTTCATTCTGAAAAACGCGCGTCTTGTTACTAAAGTCCAGGTCGAAATCACAAAGACCGAGTTTCAGATCTCAAAGTCTCTCGGAAGTCACTTAACTTAGATTGCACTAGCAGAATGACTTTACTTCCATGGAAAGTTCTTTCTTCATGGATCGTGAGTCTCGCCGACATAGAACGGAACCACGTAACTCAGCAACCGAGAGTGAAAAAAAAGTCAGAAGCTCCTGCAATGTGCTGCAATGTAAATAATATCGGTAGTACAAGATGTCGTTGAAAATGACTCTCGAGAAAAAATTGCTTCTTTTCAAAAGATTAATTGAAAGTATTCAGATTCAGAAAAGAAACTGTGACTGGCTGCAGACTTTTTCCTGCTTCAACATAATGACACAACGTTATTTTCAATTTGCATTATAAAGTCATAAAATACATTTTACTGCATTAAATAAAATAGAAAAATATTTGACTTTTTCTCAAGCTTTCTTTATTTATTGCAATATTTATTTTACTGAAATGAACTTTATGAACCAAAAAACAAATAGTTTACAATGGTGCTAATATTGAATAAATTAATAAAAATTATAATAATCGGAGTTCTAAAATATTTTTATCGTGGCATTCTTCGAAAGTCAATAAATACATCAATATTACTGATAAAAAACATTTAATAATTAATAATTTATATATTGTTATGTCGTAATTATAGTAGAAGAAAAAATCGTACGTGAAAAAATGTTTTGAAAATTTTATCAACAATAATGATGATTATAATATCACTATAACTATGATGAGAGATCGAATAATTCGTTAATGATACAATAATTATTAGATAATAGAACTCTGCGTTAAAGCTAGCATTAAGAAGCGCAAATGTCAAGGAACTGGTTGATAAATGATGTTAAACATAAAAAAATATAATAATAATAAAAGGAGAAAAAATTAATTAGTAGTCATTTAAGTATGTTGTAGTTACGTGTAAATTGACGTTTGTGTAATTTATTTCTTTCATACAGTGCGAAACTCATTCCCATTGAGTGTTGGCACTTTGGGAACAGAACTGAATTGCTTTTTCATTTGCTTCTGGGGATCATTGGATCCACATGACACTATTTACTCTGTCTGGACTGTGTTACAGGGTTCAAAAGCAAAACTCTGATCTACTACGGTGGAGCTTGGAATGAGTTGTCGACAGATAAAAAGTGACTAAAGCTATAATGAACCCTTAAAATTCCCCAGAGCTTTATCAGTTTTCAGAAAAATAAA